GGAATTACGGATAGTTGTTAGCTGCCATGTGGGTGCTGGGATTCGAACCCAGGTCTTCTGCAAGAACAACCAGTGTTCTTAACTGCTGAGCCATCTCTCCAGCCCCTAAATTCATGAACTAATTATTTTATAAAGAAGTGTGCGAATTCACTTACTTGTTAATTTAGCAAATGCTGAGCATTTATTGTTTGTGAGGCCTTGGTTACATATAAAGTCAAAGATACCCTCAAACACTATTACAAGAAACAAGACAAGACACAGAGGTCACCCCATTCTACATGATATCCTCATCTTGTCTGCTTCCTAGACATGTCCTGTGGCTAGTCTTTCCCTGGTCCCAGGCAGTGAGGTGGGGAAGCTATGAAAACATGGCATATCATTGATATTTTGGTCATAGTTTGTCAGGAGCTGGAGACAGAAAGATGATGAATTAGTTTGAGTCATGCTGAGATGCAGTACTGACAAGATACACAAGGGTTGAGGGCTCTTCTGACAAAGACACTGAAGAGAATTCTAGCACATCTCCTTACCCCATAGACAACAATAAGAGGAAGAGCCCACTGCAAAGAATGAAAACCAACCACTGAGCAGAAGAGGAGGGAGGGACTGGTGGAGAGCAAACAGTTCCAAGGAGCAGGTAGTTAACAGCACTGAAGCAGAAGAAAAGCAGTTAAGAACTGTAAGAGCCAGGACCAAGCACTTGCCAGCACAAGGCATACCCCACCCCTTGTAATTTTGCTTCAAGTGAATAATAGCCCAGCATGATAAGTCACTTTTTTGACTAAACAAAGTGACCTCTGTCATGCCCTCCACGACTCTGTCCCTGAGCCCATGCTACAGATTAAGGTGTGTTGTCATTCTGTTTTTAAAATTCCAGGTCTTATTATTGATGCTTTTGGAGAGCTAAGAGACCAACAGGAACAAGTGCGAGAAGACATGGAGGTAACATTATTTCTACTCATTCCAACACCATTTTCATATTCCAGGCGAACAGGTTCCTCAGACAAAAGAGTGCTATTAATTAGGGTCATTCCTAAACAGGACCACTAATAAGGTTTATTTCCCAGGCCTGTCCACTCTCCTCCTCTACGTCCATCTACCAGCTTTGGGTACGTAATGCCTTGTGCTCTGTACCACTCCCCAGGCCTGTCACATTGCTCCCCTCCTCTCTGCTTCATGAGTGGAAGGAACAGTATCTTGAGCTAGGCAGATAGCACTGTGAGTGAATGACTAAAGGGCAAAAGCCTTAAACAGGAAAGTACTTTTCAGTTTCCCTAATTCAATTGTTGCCCTTCTTCCTGCCTATACCGCTATGCCTGTTAATGCCTTTTCTATTTGTTGTGTATCACAGACTAAGTGTTTCATCTGTGGCATTGGCAATGACTACTTTGATACAACCCCTCATGGTTTTGAAACACATACATTGCAAGAGCACAACTTAGCCAACTACTTGTGAGTATTCTTAGTTGTCTTTAAGGTTTAAAAAAAATTGTTTCTCCCTTTCAGAAAAGAATGTGCAGGTGTCTGTGTGAACTACTGACTTCCTCTACATGCTTGAGCAATCAGAACTGTTCTTGGGCCAGGCAACCCAACCTGTGACTAGACCTCACTCCTTCAAAAGATCATGTATCTCCAGCAATTTCTTATTCTCAGTGGCATCTTCCTGTTCCCTTATCATCTTTTAAAATCCTAAATGATGTCCATTTTTACCTCTAGCTATTACTATCCACTTCTCTCTACCTTTGCCCTTCCTATCCTCTATGAATCTTTTACTGAAAGACTTTCTTCCCCTCCACATCACAGAATTTGGATGTATCAAGGTGGCCAGTCACATTCATGTTGATAAAGCTGTAGACAAAGTGAGGTTTGAAAACTGACCACAGCATTTAAGAGTGAGATGTTGGGGGCTATGTGTTGTGGAATTGCTTCAGCAATGTCTGGCCCCCCAATAAGTAAGAAATAAATAAATACTTCACTTTTTCTAGAGTAAAAACATTCACCTAAGAGCAAGTTATTTGAGCCTATGTAGAATTCCACTTACAGTGTATATAAATTATGACCTGATTATTCAAACTCAATTTAAAAAAAACTTAGTATTTAACCTTCCCTCCTGTCATGAATATTTATCATGGTCAGTTCTGATAGGTCACATCTTAGTCAAGATATACAAGGGGAGCCCAGGGTCCTATGGCAGTACCAGGGGATGCTAGCCATCTGCACTGGGATTCCCTTTCATTATACCATGGAACATTCTGTGCCCCTCTGTAGTAGCTAGTTTAAGTGCTAGAATTCAATGACTCCGTTTGACCCTCCCACCTTTTAAAATGGTTACCTGCCACTTAAATAAATGTGCCAGGGGAGACATAATGTTTTAGTGGTTTCAGTATGATGAAGATACATTGATTTGCTTTCTTTCTCAATCTTGAGAAAGGAAAATGAGTTAATTGTCATAGCAAAGCCATTTCTGTATGCCAGGGCCTGCTGCAAAGCCGGCTGGCACTGCTTTGTGAGAGCTCAAGGTTTGGGGCTCAAGCTCTGCTACCACGTATTCTACTTTCTTTTCCTTTTACCAAAGTCATGGTTTCTTTTCCTGAAGGACATGACTGAGACTAGTTCTGGAAACTGTCTCTGACTTCATGTAATATGAACTGAAAGTTCATCCCTGTGGGACAGACTCAAATCTTTGACACGGATCAGTTAGAGTGCATGAAACTATACTGTATTTTCCCAGTTTTCCACAATGAAAAACAAAGTTATACTTCCAGAAGAATGTATATGACTTGAGATTAAATACTTTTGATAATTTTATGGTAAAAGGTTGGGCTTTTACTTCATTGTTTGGGATTTTCTTACTATGATAGACAAAAACTCCTTGCAACTGGGCTTAGAACAAAGCTCTTTCCTCAGTGGCTTAGAAACCAGCATCTATTATTAGAAATGCTTCCCTAGTCCTTAGTCTTTGAACCCTGTTTCCAATTTGCCTGAGTAAACAGTGTTAGATAGTTTGGTTAAGAAATCCACCTTGGGCTGGAGAGATGGCTCCGTGGTTAAGAAGACCCAGGTTCAGTTTCCAGCAACCACATCAGATGCCTCACATCTCCCTGTAACTCCAGTTTCAGGAGTTCTGACACCCTCTTCTGGCCTCCACAGGTGCCTTCATATATGTGGTGCACACACAGACAAGTAGACAAGTTAAAAAAGCTTTAAAAATGTCTTTTCCCCACTTATACCATTTGTTCTTTTTCCAGATTCTTTTTGATGTACTTAATTAACAAGGATGAAACAGAACACACGGGTCAGGTGAGAAATAAACTGCTTTTAACTAAGAAGCATGGCCTGTGCTAGGTCTTCCTTTTACCAAGTCTTGAAACTTTGCAGGGCAGAGAATATCTGGGCTGATGAAGCCAGAATTCTGTGGTGACTTTGGAAATAGACTAAAGACTTCCTGGAACTCCTTCCCAACACTGACATTTTCTAAAACATGGTGTTTACTGCCTCTGTATAGAATAGCTGGAGGTGGGAGAACATTATGGAAATGGAGTGGGTGGCTGGAACAAAGGGCAAGAGACTCAGAGTCAGACAGCGGGAGAGACAGCATAAGAAAGAACGGCCTTGTTTGTGGGTGACAACAGGAATGTGGAGGTGTGGGGAGAGAGGATGAGTGAGATGATGTGTCAAGTGATTCTGTGACTATGAAAAAGAAATAGAAAGGTAGAGAATACAGCAAAACTTTACAGTTCAAACAGTTGGGTTCTAGATCTGGCCTCAGCTCTGCAGGCCTAAGCTACAGGAAACATCCCCTCAACCTGTGTTCTCCCAGGTACAATGGCATGGTTTTCCTCCTCCTCTGCTAGCACAATGGGAAAGATATGACTTCTTGCTCAGAATACCATGAGGGCTGAGACTAGAGCAAGAAAGAATATGGCTATGTTGCCTCACATGAATTCATGTTGGTCTTTCTAAAGAGAATGACAGCAAAAACCACCTGAATTTTAGCTTACTGTGGTTTCAATATAAGTACCCTTTGTTCACATTGTTTCAGGAATCCTACGTGTGGAAGATGTACCAAGAAAGGTGCTGGGATTTCTTCCCCGCTGGTGACTGCTTTCGTAAGCAGTACGAAGATCAGCTTGGATAAATTCGAGTGAAAGAGCCATGATTCTGGACAGTCAACTTCTATGAAATAAAATCCTCCTTTTACAGTTCTTATAAAAACCTCTATGTGGAAATTGATTTGGCATTTGTCCCAATGGACATGCAAAGGATCAAGGACTCCTTACCTGAGTGCCTGGAAGTTTTTCATTTCCATTGCAACTAGTGTGTTATGATCGTGGCACTGAGAAAGAGTGTAGAGAAATACGAAGTCTTGGCTGCATAACATGGAAATAGCAGACAGGAGTATCCCTCCAGGGGTTCATGGTCAGAACTACACAAAATCATGTCAGCTGCAGTCTAATTTTTCCTGTGGTACTTGCTAGTGACTGCATTCAAAATCAGCTTGAAAAGCTTTAAGCAGCTAAAGAAATAGAAAACAAACACTTTGTCGACACTGAAATATCGATTAAGTGCCTTAAAAATCTCTTTAGATATAGCTATGCAAGTTTTTTTTTATGTTTGTGTTCCAAAAGGACAATTCCATTAAATAGTTGTGATCTTCTGTCTTACTTTATGAAACTGCACTTGAAGATTATTCATATAATTTTCTTTCAGTAACAGCTTGTCAACTGCTGTTATTAGAAGAAAAGTACTGTACTGAAATTTCAGAAAAATCTCAATCTTATGCCAAAATTGAGTAATGCTTTATGTTCACTTGTAAGTAGTGGAGCTGCTCTGTTTAGGTGAATCTCCTCAAAATAAAGTGCCCACTGCAATAAAATAACACATAAACTGTCCATGGTTTGGCCTCTTGTCATGTACCACTTCTGGTTGATTCTACAGCAATGTGACTACTGGGGACACAGACATTAGACAAGTAGCCTGTGGGTTTCACACAGAAAGGATCACAGAGCAGGGGTTGTTTATTTTGTGCAAACACATGCCTTGTGTGTATGCTCTTAATCAGCAGCACCTGCTATGCTGTAAACACTGAGAAGGCGGCTGGAAACACAGCTGGGACATCCATCCCCTTCCCTTAAGGAAATCTACCAGATTACAAACCAGAAAACAAAAGAATTGAAGCCTCATACATGTATTCAGATGCTGTCAAATGTGGAGGTAGGCATTGGCCGCTATAAGCATAATGGTGCACACTAGCATGGGATATGCTGGTAGATTAGCCAACTCTCAAAGGCAGCCTAGCGCCTGCCCTGACTTGGAAGGCAACCAAAATTTGCTTCAGGCACATTTTCTTAATATTTTTCAGGAGATCATGCTGTCCAACCAGTCTTCCAGCTCTTCGTCAGTGACAGGTTTGGATGTGACTGGATGCTCAGATTCCACATTCCTCTCGCTGGTCACAGATGGGTTTTCAGGAACTAGGGAAATAAAAGCAGTATTAGCTACCTCACATTAGTCCCCATGTTGAGGGTTAAGACTTCCTTGGGGTTTGTTCCAGGATATATTCAGCCCAAACTACTGCTTTCTCCATAAAGGAAGAAGATTCTGATTGTCATTACCCCTAAGATACAATGGAATCTAGAGGTTTGCTTTTCTACTTGTCCTGAAGAGTTCACTGCTCACCCATTTTTTGTTGTTGTTGTTGCTATTCTTTGTTGTTGTTTTTTTTTGTTTTTTTGTTTTTTTTTTAACAAAGACCAACAGCTCAGTGTTCCTCTTCCTGTTCTGCATTCCTGGACCATCACTAATGATTCTCTAGTGCAGTATATGACAGTCAGCTTTAGGCCCATCACATGGCCACCATCACACAAAATATGCACAAGATAGAAAACACTGAAAGGAAGGAAGGAAGGATCTAAATACTAAGAAAAAAAGTATGAAGAGTTGGTTTCCAAGCCTGATTAGACAATTAAAAGGTCTCCTGATAAAAAGGCTTTTACAGAAGTTCAATTTGCAGCTCTGGGTTTAACAGTGCAATCAGGCCAGTAACCACTTTGGAAGCTTACGATATTGAGTAAGAAAAACTGTTGTAAAGGTCAGCTCAGGAGGAAGCGGAGATGTGAGCACAAGAAGAGATGTCAGGGACACAGCTAGATCAATGTCAGACACAGAGGGATCTGTACAGATGTGATATGGTAGGGCTGTTCCCACAAAAGCACCAACATTGATAAGATGAACAGGGAATGAAATGAAAGCTGTACCTTTTTCCTCCAGGATCACCTGCCCTTCTGTCTCAGATTCCACGTCCTCAGATGTCTGGTCTGGACAGACATGATCTTCCTCTTTCACAGGTGCATCTAAATTCAGCAACAGATCGAGTTCTTCTTCCAGATGGTCTGTTGCTGACTGTGGTCGGGAGGTGGGTTTCTGGGACCCTCCTAGGAGGTCTGGTCTTAGACTGTCTTTGCCCAGAGACCTGGGACAGCCAGCAGATCTCAGCTCAGAAATGGGCCCCCTTAACTGCATGCCCAACCCTTTGCCATCATCATTTCTCCTTGGTTTCGCCTGTGGAAGCTCTAAGGGAACTGTGGTCTGAAAGAGAAATGTGATATCTGAGTTTTGCATACTAGTTCTCATATTTGCCAAAGTGCAAACAAGCATAGGGAAGTTAGGAAGCCATCCAACTTTATAGGGTGGAAACCCAATTCAGACAGATCACAAAGTACCTCCTATGGGAGACCTGTCCCGACACTCTTCCTGACTGACTCAGGGTGAATGCGCAAGACCACTTGGAAATACCATGGGATCCTGCTTCTCACTCTCTTCCCCTCCACTCTGCTGACCAGCTCTGAATTGGGAGTTAAAAGTCCCCGGCTTCCTATTACAGGCATAAAAGCTAACCATACCATAGGTCTGTTTGAATTGATACTCAACTCTATAATGGAGAACGACCATCTGTAAAAGTCACTAAGGAGAAATTAGTCAAGTAGACCTGTTCATTGTGTTTGAATGTACTAACATCAGGGGCAGGAACAGATTCTCCAAGAAGTAATGAACTCTACATTATTTGGATACAAAATGTGAAACATGAAGAAAAACACTATTTGGTTACACTTATAGAAAAATCAAAACACAGGCAAAACTAGAGCAACAGAGGCCAGGATAATGGTTGTCTTGGGGCAGATAGGGAATTCAAGATGTGGGTGGTGGCTTCTGGGGAGCTAGCAATATTCTGATTCCTGATATAGAAGCTAATTTCATGGTTACACATACTTATCCGTACATTCTTCCCTACCTATGCTATACTTCAAAGACTTCTCAGGTAACTGACAAGGTTACAGCCTTAAAGTAACCTTGAGAAGCCCTTCCTAGAGGGAAAGCCATAGGGCTGGCAGGGACTCCTAATGCATAGGTTCAGAAAGAAGTTCAGTATCTACTACAGCAACTGATCCCTTGCTCTTACCAAAGAGCCAGCTTGCTTCTCAGAGCTTTTGTCAGAAATTTAATTCAGCATGGCCCTATAAGTATAAACATGACCAAATGCCCAGTGCTGTAGTTGGACAGAGCAAAGCTGGGACATGGTTCTCTGTTCTAATCCTAGAAACATTTCATGGAGCTCTGTGGGCACCTGGACTTTTTGCTTGCTTAATTTTAACTTCCCAGGCGATTCTAATGAGCACAGTTGAGAACAGCCCCGCACATGGCAGAGGGTGGGGTGCTCCTTGATTGCTCTCTCCCTACTGCCAGCACATTCCTCCCAAATCCTGTTACTGTTACCTTTGAAACACTTCTTACTGAAATCTAGTCTTTGCTATCTCTATCATAATTATCTGAGTCTGGACCACAGTGTCTCTCAACTGATCCAGGCGACAGCCTCCTCAAGGCCTGCCTTCCCCGCTCTGCCTTTGTATGAGTGCACACACAGATATAGCCATGAATCCCACAGCCTGCTTTCCATTCCACAGTCAGAATGTTTTACTATTATCGTTTTCATTAACATAGACTTGGGTCATTTTCCTTTCAACTGCAGCTCAAATGTGCTTATTTTTGCCTTAGACCTCAACTTACCTTAGGAAAGCCATCCTTAGCAATACCACTACAGGTCAAGTTCATTATTACAACCTCTCATGGCACACTGTAATTCACATGAGTTATAATTTCTGCATATCTATGTAGTTACTTCATTAATCTGATCTGCATCAGTCTTTTCCAATAGATTAAGCTCAGGAAAGGAGGAACAGCAACTATCTGCTCACCACTGTGTCTCCAATGCCAACCCAGAATGCCTGTCACATGAGTTTTTTGAGTAACAGACTTTATATTCTTTCTTGCATTCAATTCTATTACAGTAGAATTTTAAAATGTGTCATATATAAAACATAAAAGAATAACTTCAACTATTTTCTTCTCCTTTAAACTTTACAAAATGACACCTTGACACAAAACCCCAGCATTATGGACATCAAAGCTCAGGCTGAGACACCCTGCAGAAGATGTTCTTCCCTCTGGCTCTCTTTCTGCTCCAACCCAAAGAGCAGTCAGACAACACTTATACCTGGATCAGCTCGGCAGCAACATTGAGTCGGACAGAGAGAGGCAGCTCTTGAAGGGCTTGAACCAGGGACTCGCTGTCCACGTAAAGTGCTGAATTCTAGACATATATTTGTTAAAAAGAGAAAAATGTCAAATGAGAAAATTATAAAAAAGTCATTCACTGCAATTGCTTTTGGCTTGGAGTCAGATCATAAATCCCCCTTCATGAGCTATAATTTTTCTCTCCATGGTAAGATTAGAGAACCCAAACTTCCGGGGCTGGAGACATGGCTCAGTGGTTAAGAGCACTGGCTGCTCTTGCAGAGGACCCAGGTTCAACTTCCAGCACCCACATGGTGGCTAACAACCATGCATAACTCCAGTTCCAGGGGAATCCAACACCCTCTTCTGATTTTGTACTTTATGGGTCTTGAACAACACAGGTGCACTTACACACATGCAGACAATGCACTCATGAAATAATAAATAAAATGAAAAAGAAAGAAAGAGAGAGAGAAAGAAAGAAAGGAAAGAAAGAGAAGAAAGGAGAGAAAGAAAGAAGTTAAGTTAGGAAAAGAAAGATCCCGCCTGTTGTCAGATTCAATCTTCTCTAAAAGCTCCATGAAAGAAAGAAAGAAAGAAAAAAAGAAAGAAAGAAAGAAAGAAAGAAAGAAAGAAAGAAAGAAAGAAAGAAAGAAAGAAAGAAAGAATCCAAACTACCCTCCTATCTTCTGGAATCAGAGCTCATACTCACAGAAGCAAAGAATAGTGATCATCTTACAAGATGGCACAGTCACCTGCAAACCTGTGGTCACTTCTGCAACTACTGGCAAGCTAGGAGAAAACTAGTATTTAATGAAATCTAACCAGACACCTCCCTAAGTTCTAGGAAGAATTTAGGCTCTAGGAAGAAAAGGGAAGGGCTGATGAGGCAGTTCAGGTGGGGTTGGTGGGTATCACCAAAGGCTCTGGCAGGGTAAGCTATGCTTCTTTTCAAACCAGAAAATAGAGAACAGAAACTCCTCTCTCCAGCCAGCTACACTCTGTATGGTGCCAGCACTAAGAGCTTCCATTGACTCTTTCCCCATTCAGAACTGAAGCTACTTTGGTACACTGACCTCAAAAACCAATGGTCTAGCCAGTGATTCATTATCCACTATTCTACTGGCTACTCTTAGGTGTCCTGGCAACCTAAGAGAAGCAACAACCTAAAAGCTGATCATAATAACCTCTAATACACAGGCAAACCCCCTCCACCACTAAAGTCAGCCACAGACTATCATGAACCCAGCCAGAAATATGTCTTATCCTGTAATTGCTGACTTTACATTTGCAAGAAGCCAGAGGTCCACTACCTTAATCACTATTGAAGGAGCAGCTCCAGTCGATGGGTTTATACTGATCAGAGATGGAGACGTATTTCCTGGCTCCTCAAGCAGAACCCCACCACAAAATCCTGACACACATTAGTCACAAGTCCACATAACAGTAGTACATGGGGATCTGTCTGAAGAATTGATCTGGCCTTTCAATGACCCTTCTGAAATCATCCTGAGATGGCCAGCTCAGGTCAGTAATCCTGACAGTGCCAAAGGGTGTCCTTCAGCCTAGAAAAAAATTTACATCTAAAACAGGTAACATACTTTGGAAATAAAGCCACAAGAAGAATGTGGGAAGAGGGTAGGCGAGATGGTTTAGTGAGTAAAGTATGTGCTATGCAAGCACCAGGACCTGAGTTGGGATCCACAGCACCGATTTAAAGCTGAGCATGGCACTCATGGATGGACACATACACATACACACACACACACACACACACACACACACACACACACACACGAATGTGGGAAAAGCCAGGTATATGGCAGCACACACTTATAATATCTCAGCATTTGAGAGGTGGGTGCAGGAGGACCATGAATTTGAGGGCTGTATCTTATAATAGAACCTTAAAGGGGTGGGGTAGGAGTTCTGTATGCATCGGGCCATTTCTTACCACTGAACACAACAAGACCTGTGACTAAGGCCCAGCATAGCCAAGTCTTTGTTCTCAAGTTTGGAAAAACTCTCTCAATCCACTACAAAGTTGTGATCCTGGATGCTTCCCCTATAGAGAAGTCACCACATAAAACACTAGAAATCCTGCTGCTCCCAAAGTCTGCCAAGTCATGCTGTATAGGCACCCTTTGTTCAGTCTTCAGAAGGAGAAATTGTACTACGCTGAGATCTGGCCCAAAGCTTCCAGATTTCTTTTGGCCTCTTTTACATCGCACACAGTAATTTTTTTTAAACAAAGAAAAGTCTGTGAGATTGAACAAAGATCTGGGCAACGGTCTGGCTGTGCTTCAGAGTTTGGTCGTGTTTCCCACTGTCATGTCTGCTCCCACAATGCTAACTCCCTCCCCCATTCCAGGCCCAGCTAACTTCTGCCATCTCCATATTGCCTCATTCACACTTCAAATCACATTTTTTAATATGTGGCTCACAGGATTCCTGGGGCCACAAGCTGGTATCAACCACCATTTTGTAAAAGGACTTTACTTCATCACCAGTGTGTCCTATAAAGGGCTAAAGTGAAAGGCCTCAGATATAAAGTCAGTGGAAGTGAACTGCTCATAATGCTGAACTGTCATCTTTAAAAACAATTTTTTTAAAAGTCTAATTAGAAAAATAAACATAAACTGGTTTTTGCTATGTTTTTATATAATCAGTAAGTATTTCTTGCCTGTGGCCCAAAGGCCTCATTCAGCTGGCCAACCCTGATGGTCACTTGAAGTTGGAGAAGACAGCAATGTCACTAAGAAGAGGATCATATCACTAAAGACATTGTGGGGGAGGGACACAGAGATATTCATCTGACATCCTGAGGCTAGAGAGGCGAGCTGGCCTTCCCATTAGAATACTGCCTTCACGCCACTTCTCTGGCCACAAGCAGTGGTAACAATCTGTCATCCTGCAGGTTCTGTTCTGGTAAAACAGTGTCTCAGTCTTGTGTACATTCACACTTAGAAGAAAATAATTGTTACCAACTCCACTTTGCAGCTCAACCTACTGCCTTTTGGTAGACCACTACACATCTCCCTCTGAAGTCATGGTGTCTGAATGCATTTGGGGCTCAAACAATATCATGCATATACCTAATGGTGAAAAAAGCCTTTGAGGACAAGAGATTCTCAGTCCTCACTCACTGAACTGGATGAAGGTGATGGGTGGTGAGTGTGAGTAAGTAATACCTTTAAGGTCACGCAGCCCAGAACTACCTACTGTGTAACACCAGCACTCCATAGTTGTTCAAGGAGGGTCTACTGAATAAATCACTACATCGATAAGGATTGGAATTAGAATAAAACTTCCAGTGATTAAAAAAATAATGAATCCAGTTTTTCAACTAAAGTTGTTCTCTTCCTACCCATTCCCACTCCTAGACTCAGGAGCTGGCTCTCCTGGGGTCATGTGCTGGCACAGTTTATGCAGAGTACCTTGCTGCCAGGCTGTGTGATGCTAGATCCCACCTCCACCCCATCAGGATTCCTCATGAAGATTTCTAACACATCTCACTGTCTAACTCCTGCTCTTCTTGAATTGCAAAGAAAGATGTTTCTATCTTCTTCTCTGTTGTCTTACATTACTAGTCACAGTGGGGGCCATGCATGAGGCATGAACAACAATAAATAGAAATACACAGATAGTCTCTCAAATAATGAGAAAGAAAACTGACTAAGGCAGGAAAGAGTTTAGTTGGGGAAATGATAAATCCATTTTGGATATATCCAACCAGTACTGCCAACTCAAAATGATCAAGATCAAGTGTGAGTTCACTGTACTTCTGATTCTACTTCTCTACCACTCGGCTACTCAAGTTGAAATGCCTGGTGCCACCGTCTTGCCCTCTGCAGGTGTCCCCTCTCCCCTCCCCTCTTTTTTTTGAAGACAGGGTCTCCCTGTAGCCCCAGCTGGCCTGGAACTCACTATGTAGACTGGACTGCCCTTGATCTCACAGGGATTAAAGGTGTGCACCACCATGACCAGCCTGCCTCACTTCTTCACCCAACATAGCACCCCGTTGCCAACCTCTCACCTGCTCAATCCCTTCACCTGATATTGCTGAGGTCAAACCTAACTGACTCAATGTTCTTGCCGAATAAAACTTTGTTGACAAATAATGGCTGGGCATGGTGGCTCATAGCCATAATCCCAGCACTCAAAAGGCAGAGACAGGAGGATTGCTATGAGTCTGAGACTAGTCTGGGCTACACAGCAGAGTAGTTCTAAGCCAGCCTGGACTACAGGGATTGTATATGAGAAAAAAATTTAAACTAAAGATAATATTAGTAGTAAGAGCTCACTTTGTTTCAAATCTGGATCTCCACTGAAGGACCTTATACTATCTAATCTAATCCTTACAACAAGTAGGAGTCACAGTTTATTGTCGGCCCCATCTTATAGATGAGCAAGCAGATGAGAACACAGTTTGCCCAAGTCACAGAACTAGAATCTGCAACCAGGTTTGTATCTCCAGTCTATTTTCTTTCTTACCCATATTCAAAACTGTCCTTTGAAGAGAATGAAGACCAAATTATGACAGTAACTGGTCCAGACCCACCACTGAAGCTTCCTCAGCAGAGGGGAATACTTCACAATAGCCACAGCCCCTTTCAGAGTCCAACCTACTTTTCTTCATTGGTCCCTGTGGTTCCACTACACAAGTCCCTGTGGTTCCACTACACAAGACCCATGAGAATCATACCCATCCACCAAGGCCGATGCAAACAACTGACCTGCCCCCACAGTACTGCTCATTTATTAGGCAGATATCTCCTGAGTGTCTACTACAGGTCATCTGCTATGTTCAGATAAGGAGAGTTGAACAGGTAAATAACCACTGCTTTATGTTTTGATGAAGAAACTTAGAACTACATAGACCTCTCAAGATACCTGAAGCATTCTCTGATACCCAATATAGTCCAAAAAGGACTTACATTGTGAACTTTGTTCCTCAAACGTCTGTCCATTTTCTACCTGTCCTAGAATCCTAAACTCACTTCAGTCATATGCTCAAACAGCCTCAAGCAAAGACATACATGCTGTGTGTGTTACATCTTTGTGTATTTGTTCATGTGTATATAGAGACCAGAAGTTAATGTCGTGTCTTCTTCAACAGCACTTTACTTTATTCTTCTGAAGCAAGGTCTCTTACTGAGCCTGGAGCTCATCAGTTCATCCAAGCTGGCTGACCAGGAGAGTTCCAAGAATCTGCTCATCTCTTCCTTCCCAGCACTGGGATTACAGACACACTGACACACCCAGCTTTTTACATCAATACTGGGGCTCTGAACTCAGGTCCTCACAGCAAACATTATTACCCACTGAGTCATATCCTTAGTTCTGTAAATATTTTTAATTCTAAATTTCTCTTATTTTATATAACTTTAAAAAGTCCATTTTCAGTGACTTCCTTCCATGTGATCTGTAAAAATCAATGTCCACCCAAACACTTGAGCACACCTCTGGTTGACCTTCATAGCACATATTCTGAGCTGGTAGCAGAGGAGCAAAGAAGTGCAGACCTGGCACCTTCTAGTCCGATTCCCCAGCCATCTCCTATTTCACCAGACAGTATTTCTAGCTCTGGAGTTAAGAAGTACCTGACAAGCCACCATTAATTCTCTGTGAATTTTAAAGGGAGAGAATAGTTGTGTTCTCTCACATGGAAAGAATCTGTGGTATATGCTTGGAAAAGAATCAGAACCCAGGGCTGGAGAGATGGCTCAGTGGTTAAGAACTCTTCCAGAGGACCTGGGTTTGGTTCCTAGCACCCATATGATGGCTAACACACATCCTTAACTCCAGTTCCAGGGGATCCCACACCCTCTTCTGGCCTCCATGGGCATTGCACAACTTGAGTGCACTTACATCATGTAGGCAAAACACACATACACATTAAATAAAAATAAATAAAATCTTTAAAAAAAAGAATCAGAACTCCTTGGGAAATGAGAAATGTTAGTGTGAACACACAGCCAATGAGGTGTTTTGGGTTTATGGATCTACTGATGGCTTCTATAATGCTTTTTTTAAATTTTTTAAATTTTGTACCTTTATCCTCTCACCTGTAGAATACTAGAGGTACAAAGTTAAGGGAAGAGTGTGGGAGAAAAACTTATTTTCCACTTCTAAATAGAATTGTTATAGATTGACAAGAAGAGAAGGAGGAGGAAGAGGAGAAAGAAGAAAATAAAACAGCAAAGGAATCTACTTTGTCAAATCATAACTATTAACTTCTTACTTCACAACCCAATCTATGAGAAATTCACAGATGGCCAAATACAAAGGTGAAGTCAAAACTGAAGGACCTATATAATTTCTTTCTTTATTTTATTTTTTGGTCTTTTGGGACAGAGTCTCCCTGTAGCCCCAGCTGGCCTGGAACTTACTATGTAGATCAAGCTGGCCTCAAGTACTGGGATTAAAGGTGTGTACCACCATGCCCAGCAGGACCTGTATAATTTCATTCCCCTGAAAACTTTCTGAATAGTAAAGGTAGCTGAGAATAAAATGCACTTGAATTACAGCTCTCTTCCACATGACAATGGCTGCATCTTCACATTGAGAGACAGAAGCCAACCTTGGCCTTGAGAAGAACTAACCTACATTCAAGAAACATTCATCTTACCTGTTTTGGACTTTTAATTTCACCATCCCATTCTTTCTCCTCAGCAAATCGGAACTGTGAGAAGGAGTCCCCTAGGAATAGGAAAAAAAATACATATATATATATATATATAATTTTTTGTAAACCCTTTATTCAAAGTTTCCATTTTGGAGCACACATGCCATTTCTGACATGCTAACCTTCCCAAATTCATGGATACGATTCTATAAAGTCCTGGCTCCACTCCAGACATCTGTATGTTATAGACACTCAAAAATACAGTTGGCAACTACACTTACCATTTCATTCAGTTTTCAATCAGTAAGCCACCACTTCACATGTTGAGACAACTAAACAGGACTGTAGACACGGCCATCTACCCATACCTAGTACATTTCCATCTCATCCACTTGATGTATGGAAAGAAATTTACATTTATGATTTCAGGGGTACACAAGGCAGAAATGGGAAGGGGGTTGAGACTGAAAGAAACCCACTCTTGACTGACCCACAATATAACAAACTCTTTGAGAGTAACAGTCTCTGAGATGATTCTGGGCAGCAAGCTCTATCACAAGGCTGTACGTATCCACGACTCTGCATTAAGAGTAATTCATTCATACATGAATTCTTTCTCTCCAGCTTCCACAGGCTCTTAAAATTTGGTCCCACTTCATCATTCACCCACATTTACTTTCTATTTCTTCAGCCAGTCTGCTTTCATGTTTTCATATGCATCCTCTATCTTACCTGCTTTCCCTTGCCTTCAAGACTCATGCCCTCTACCCCTTCATCTCCTACCTCATTCTGTGCTACCACTGAAGTGATTAACCACAATTGCCACCCTCCACCCCCCCAAAAAATTCTATCTAAAGAAATCAGAGAGCTATGAAGACAGGACTAAAATATCCAGAGAGAAGGGGAACACACAGAAAGTGGGGCTGACACCAGGGACTGCTTTCCCCACTGAGGCACTGGCAGTTCTCATGTAGAGATTGCCGAAGGCTGAAAGCAACATCCAGGTGGCAGTGAGGCTGAGGGTAGCTTCTGTTAATCTTACACATGGATGGACACAAACTAGAGTTTTAAGAGCATGGATACAGAAGAGTTAGAAAATCATGGCTTTCAGACAGGGTTCAAAGACTACATTCTAGAAGCAGTGGTGAACTAGTACCCGACCAGCTGTGACTGAGCTCAAACCCTAATGCTACAGCAAAAAGCAAAAGTAAAGCCTCTGTGGAGGAAAACAACACCAGCAACAGCCTAAAATCATCTACTTCTATACACCATCAAGCAGGGGAAGAGGAGGAATGACACAGGACAGAGTAGGAAAAGATTCCGAGGTTATTATACTGGCATCATCATATGTCACTATAATTTCATAATCTTATCATATCAGACTTTGAAGAACAGCAAAGCTATAAAATCATAAGCAGTGGAATTCACAAAGTCATCACTAATGTACAGAAAATCAAATATATATATATATGAAAATGTTAGGGGAATAGGATATCTAAAACACACTACATTCAGTGAATGTCAAAACAATGGAGTCCTATAGACCCTCAAACAATACTGGTTATTGCCATTGCTCTTAGTTACCCACCAGAACTTTATGGTAAGAGCCTATTATTGGACACTATATATGTGAATCAGAGAATAAGGAGAAATCAGAGTAATACTGACCTCAAAGTTTCATCTCTACTGGCTAGCTTTCATGGTGCTCAAAGGTGCCATGCATGCTACCAGAAGAGAAAAATAATCCTCAGTTGTGAACCCTGCAAGCTACAATAACAACTGTCCTGGCAAGATATGCCCACTGGTGCTATAGTGCTCACTTCATAAGATGGAGCCCATACTTTGGCACTCTTACTAGAGCCAAACAGGTTATAGGGTGTGGGGGAGAACCTATTACTATTATCCTTCTCAACAGACATAGAATTAAACTGACTCCTAATGACTTAATGTTATGTCCATAGTTTAGAGCATTTCTCACCTCTCACCAGAGAAGCTTCTTCCTACATCAGATGGCAATTAACAAAGAGACCTACAACTGGTCAAAATGTAGAAAATAAACTCTGGGGTGCTTGACCCTAAGTGGGACACCTTTATCACACCATCTTCCCCCAAGGCTTAGGGATCACTGTGGAAGAGGGAGCAGAAAGACTGTAAGAGTCAGAGGTGGTAGACACATATAATAAAACCATGTTGCTAGGACACAACAGGGAAGTGGCACATACAAACCCACAGCACCTGTGATAGCATGCACAAGAACTATCTAAGCCCAAGCCAGACAAAAAGCCAGGATGGAGGAGGGAGGTGAGCAAGTAGCTCAAGTCCTAGCTGAGGAACTATTGGCAACTGATAGCTGCTGGGAGAGGGAGAGTCAATTTTCTTTAAGAGTGTGATACCAGGTAGGTTGACCAGGCTCCAGGGGATGAACCCGTACCCAAGAGTATTTGATGAACACAAATTGACTTCGTAGGCCTTTAAAAAATAAGAGGACATGGGGCGGGGGGATTCGGAGGTAAGGGGTCTGAGAGGGAATGGGGGAGGGGATCTGAATATGATCAAAATACATTATATGAAATTCTCAAAGAATCAATAATTTTTTTTTAAGTCTTCACACGGCTGGCAAGATGGCTCAGTAGATAAAAGTACTTGTTGTGGAAGCCTAACCTGATTTTGATTCCTAGAACTCACAGTAGGTGAAAACCGACTCCTGAAAGTTGTCCTCTGACCGCTTCATGTGCACCATAATGCAAATACACCCACACACACACACACACACACGCACACACACACGCACACACACACAAACAATAAAAATTTAGAAGGCCTCACAAATAAAGCATATAGACACTAATTTCAATTAATATACTTGGTTTTAAAAGTGGGGCTACTACCCAGGTGTAGTGGTGCACACCTTTAATCCCAGCACTCAGGAGTCAGGCAGGTGATCTCTGTGAGTTCAAGGTCAGCCTGGCCTACATAGTGAGTTCCAGGCCAGCTGGAGTTATAGGGAGACCCTGTCTCAAAAAAGCTGGGGGTGGGGTGGGAATGGGAACTAAAGACTACTGGCCCCTCTCATTCTGTCACTGAAGATGAAAAAATACTAGCATTCATCAGAACTGTGAGCCCCAAACCCAAAGACCTTCTGGAAAATATGCTACCAAAATTATTCTTTCTGAAGTACAATGTAAAATACACAGGAGGAATGGGGGCACTGCCATATGTGCTTCTCCTACATCTTACATAGCATACATACAGCCATACAGAAACGAAGGCCTTTATTAAATAAAAGCATAGTGGGTTTCTGTCTCATTAGGATGAAGAGGTACCAACTAGAAAATTAGTCCAAACCAGTAACAGCCAATTTTTGACAGCAGAACAAAAATGGTAAAGTGCATCTTAGCCATCATAAGTACACATCAGGTGTGTGTTCAGAAAGTCATTACAGCTCAATGTACTAAAAATATATAAATTATACATTCTTCCACCAATGATACATTTCATGACTTACAAGAGAATGTAGAGTGGCCTTGCTGGATAGTCATACAATATCCTCAAGCACAAAGGAAGAGATGACTGTTATATATTCTGCATGAACAACAACAAACCCAACTTCCACCTTACAGATAAGATTATCCAAAGATACATATATGTATCCAAAGATTACATATTAACAAGATGAGCTAGGTAGATTATCTGTTAAAAAACTGGGGTGGACTGTGAATAGAAAAACTGGTATACAGTGAGAGTTCATGCTTCCCTTTCATAATAAAAAACCTCTTGGTTGTGGCAGGGCACCCATAATATCAGCACTTGGGAGGCTGAGGGGAGAGGATTGGTAAGTTCAAAGCCAGCCCAGGAACTTGAGAGATGGCTTGGGGGTTAAGAGTGCTTCCTGTTCTTCCAGACGGACCAAGTTTGGTTCCCAGCACCACACTGGGCAATTCACAACCATCTGTAACTCCAATCTGATGTCCTCTTTGACCTTTACATGTACCCCCTCTCACACACACAGGGCATACGTTCACACAAACACACCAAATGACTAATAATAAGAATGCCTGAGCTAAGCAGCAAGACAGTCCCTGACCCCTCTAAAAGCCTCAGATAATTCTGCTCCAGCAACAGTGGGAGTTGATTGATGTACACACAATGAAAGCCGCGATATGAGAAGGAAAAGCTCGTATTTTGAAAGTCATTGCTCTATGGTCAACTGTGGTTCCTTTCTACAGCCAAAATACATTTTTTTTAAGTGGGAGGAAATTCATGTGTGGCAGTGTTAACAGCCAAATCCACATAGCTGGAGAGGTCATAACCTCCAAACTGTCACATCCCTAAACTAATATAATTTCTTACAAATATCCCAATCACCACTCATCAAAGAAGCTTCTTTTGCTCTAGATGGAGACTATTATAGAGTACCACAACTGGTCACACACAGACATTTTCTGTGATTTGGCTCACAGAACATAGAACAAGGGGTAAAGAAGACAATAATGAATACTCAATTATCATTAATGAAGCCAGGAACACAACAACATGCAACAGAGGGCCAGGAACACAAAAGTCAAAAATGGTCAGTGTAGAGACTAAGAGTCTGCAGAATGCTGGTCCTTGGACAGTACTCCAATATTAAACTACACCCACCCAGGGCTCAGGGACCATTTAGAAGAGGGAGCAGAAAGATTATAAGAGCAAGGGAGGAGGTGCATGACCATATGGAAAGAGTCCTAAAGCTCCTGGGACCCTGCTCATATGAACCTACAGCAATGACATCAGCATGCACAGGACCCATGCAAGCTCAGACAAAATCCCAGCATAGAACTAGGCAAATAGATAGCTGACCCCAATCTTATCTGAAGAAATATTGGCAACTGATTACTGCTGGTTGAGGAAGAGCTGATCTTCCTAAAGCAAGAGACTCTAGAAAGGCTGACTAGACCTCAGTAGATAAACTTGCACTGAGGGATGTCTGGGGACACTAACTTGACACAACAGGCCTTAAGACAAATGACAGAATGTATGAATTCCAGTGGGGGGAGCGGTATGGAAGGGTGCCAGCGGGGAAGGGGGTATAAAA